CTGTAGTCCCAGCTACTTGGGAGGCTGAGGCAGGAGACTCACTTGAGCCCAGGAGTTGGAGGTTGCTGTGAGCTGTGATGCCACGGTACTCTACCTAGGGCAATAGCTTGAGGCTCTGTCTCAAAAAAAAAAACTCAGGTTAGGGACTGAATTTTTTTTTCTTTTTTTTAGGCAGAGTCTCAAGCTGTTGCCCTGGGTAGAATGTTGTGGCATCATAGCTCACAGCAACCTCAAACTCTTGGGCTCAAACAATTCTTGCCTCAGCCTCCCAAGTAGCTGGGACTATAGGCACCCCCCACAACATCTGGTTATTTTTAGATACAGGGTCTCGCTCTTGCTCAGGCTGGTCTAGAACCTATGAGCTCAGGCAATGCACCTACCTCAGCCTCCCAGATTGCTAGGATTACAGGTGTGAACCACCATGCCTGGACATGGACTGAATATTGTGTGTAGTATAGAGTTAGCCTGTTTCCTAGAAGGGTTGGATTGATGTATTTGCAGACAATGGAATTACTTTATCAGAGACAAAGGAAGAATAGATAACTTAAGATTTATTCATTGGATTCCACAATGGTTCACTAGAATAGCATTTTCCTTTCTGCTGTCCTCAGGTTGTTTGGAATGGACCTGAACAAGGTGACCCACAGTAGGCTGGCAGCACTTCGATTAACAAAACCTTACTTAGACATTGGCTGCTGAGAGGCCCTGCCAGCTCCTGTCTCCCAGAGGTTGGGACAGGGGAAGATGGGAGTCATCTATCTTCACAACACAGTGTAAGGATCTGGTGCTTTAATTCTTCAAGGGACAAATGCCACCTGCAGATCTGCTGGGGATAGAAGTAACCAGTGTCTGATGCAGCTTTCATTTTGATGATGCTGGTGCACACGAAGAGCTCAGGGCAAGGCATGACGACTGGGAGAGGCTTGAAGGATAGTGACCGGAGATGAGAAAGCTAGGACTACTGCAGAGCAGGGGCTCTTTGAGGAGGGCAATCCTGCCCCCTAGAAAGTTGGGTTGCCAGCATCGGAAGTTTTACCGTGGGCTGGATACCACTGCCATCTAGCGGACATAGGGAGGAACTGCGTCTCAACAACCTGCGAGGTGTTCCAAAGCGTTTGGCCCCAAATGCCAATTGTGTCCAAATCTAGGAAACTCTGTCCTCAAAGAGGTTAATTTTGCAAGATAGTAAGGGAACTGAGCATTTGGGAAGAACCTGGGTGCAGGTCAACCATGGGTGCCTTGGCACCCATGCACAGTGTTTACCACACTGGCCATAAACACCGAGGCTGGCAGGTTCGAACCCAGCCCAGGCCACCTAAGCAACAATGATAACTGCAACAGACAAACAGCTGGGCGTTGTGGCTGACGCCTTTAGTCCCAGCTCCTTGGGAAGCTGAGGTAAGAGAATCGCTTGAGCCCAAGAGTTTGAGGTTGCTGTGAGCTGTGACCACACAGCACTCTACCTAGGGTGACATAGTGAGATTCTGCCTCAAAAAATTAAAAAATAAAAGAACACTTGTTATGGTAACAAGCCTAACAATAATCAAGTGTGAGGGATGATGCATGAAATCTTGTCCTGTGCTCTGACTGCCCTGCTGCCCCCCAGCCCCCAGACCATGACTGGACACTTGCCAAGGCCCAACACTGACAGCCCAATCTGTAGGCTGGCTAATAACCTACACCATGCTGTGGATGAAAATACAGAACCACACCAGCATGGTGGCTCATGTTTGTAATCTCAGCACTTTGGGAGGCCAAAGCAGGAGGACTGATTGAGCTCAGGAATTCGAGACCAGCCTGAGTAAGAACAAGACCCAATCTACTAAAAATAGAAAAACTTGGCTCCGTGCCAGTAGGTCACTGGTTAGGGGACCAGCCACATATACTGGGGCTGGCAGGTTCGACCCCCACCCGGGCCTGCTAAATAATGATGACAACAATAAACCACAATACTTTTACCAAGTGCAACATAATGAAACTCTGTCTCAAAAAAAAAGAAAAGAAAAGAAATAGAGGATGGCGCCTGTGGCTCAAGGAATAGGGGTGGTGGGTTCAAACTTGGCCCTGGCAAAAAAAAAAAAGTAGAAAAACTAGCTGGGTGTTATGGTGGGCACCTTAGTCTCAACTGCTGGGGAGGCTGAAGAAGGAGGATCACTGGAGCCCAGGATTCTGAGGTTGCTGTGAGCCTGGGCAAAAGAGTGACAGTCCGTCTCAAAAAAACCCAAAACATAACCTTACAACCCATGAGGTCAGACACTGATGCACTTTTCTGATAGAGATCAATAAATGGCCCAACAGTAGCAAATAAAACCCAATGCCTTGGCTCGGCGCCT